GGGGGAGGGAAATGCACGTGACTATGGTGATGGCACACGGGTGACTTGGTGATGGGGATTACAATTGAGATGGGAAAAAATGTACAAAATGATGTAAAAATAAACTTTTGTAATAAAAAAATAAATAAATAAAATATCATGCAAAATAAAAAAATAAAATAAATAAAAGTTAATATAGAAAAAAATAATAAAAAAGCAGCAGCGATGAGACTGCACTGCTAGTTCAGAGAGCTGAGACATGCCTCTGTCTGAATCAGGGGCTCATACAGCCCCTTCCCCAAGCAATCTTGTCTAGGCTTTGTTCCCTGATCCATCCAGTTCACCAGAACAGCACTCTCCTCCTGGGTCTCCCCTGGGGTCAGGGTTGTATCATCTCAGCTGAGTGGACAGGAGTACAGGCTTAGGAACCCCCAGGCTGCGTCCACCCTGGCACTGAGGCAGACGAGCTGCGTGACCCACCCATGGCACATGGGCTCCCAAGCCTTGCCCGTCTAGCCAGTCAGGTGCTGGCAGTGATGGTATCCAGCAGCGAGGTTAGAAACTGTTTATTCAGGGGGCTCCCTGGTGGCTAGGGAGCTATCGCCACAATGGCCCACTGAGACAGCCTGAGTTTGATCCCCGGCCAGGGGGGCGCAGCAGACCTCTCCTGTCTCATCTGCTGCTTCCCTCAGCGGTGTATTTCGGTCCACCTGCCTGCTCTGCTCCTCACTCTGTATCTGATGAATCCTCTTACCCCGCTCCTCTGGCCTACACCCCACCTCTTCTACACAAAAATAAATAAAATCCAAATAAATTGTGTCTATTCAGCTTAACAGTAGTTCTCATAAGCCTTTGCATGAGGTATGTAAGTAAAATGGGACAGCTGCTTTGGAAAGTAGTCTGGCAGTTCCTTAAATACTTAAACATAGTGACTGCTATGGCCCAGTAATTCCATCTCTGAGTGAACTGAGAATATACATTGACATCAAAACTTGGGCACAGATGTTCCTAACACAATCACAATCGCCAAAGAATGCAAACAATCCACTTGTCCACCAGCAGATAGAAAGGCGAAAGGTGTAAAGTTATTTGGTTACAAAAATGGATGAGACTGGCCCTCCCTGGTGGCGCAGCGGGTTAAAGCACAGCACTAAGAAGCTACAGCCACTTCCGCATGAGTTCGATCCCCGCCTGCCCCAGAGGTGACCCACATGGCGCGGCAGACCTCTCCTGACCCTCCTGCTGTTCCCCTCAGCAGAGTACTTGGTCAGTCAGCCTGTTCTGCTCCCCACTCTGTCTCTGGTGAAGCCTCTCACCCTCCGCATCTCTGGCCTGTACCCCAGTTCTATATGAATAAATAAATCTTTAAAAAAAATGGATGAGACTGAAAACATTAAAATGAAGCACTAAAACACAGACAACCTGGAAGGACTTGAAAACATGCTAAGAACAAGGAAACGGATGCCAGAGGCCACAGACCATGTGATTATTCTTACAAGCAAAGCCCAGAAGAGGCAGGTCCACAGAGACATTGGTAGGCTGGTGGTTGCCAGGAACTAGGGGAGGGAAAAGTAGGAAGCGATTGCTAAGAACAGGGTTTCTTCTGGAGCAATAAAGACACACAATTATGTAGTGACCATTGCATAAATTGGTGAATATTCTCCAGCCCACTGAACGGTACACTTCAAAAGAGTGCATTTTATGAGGTGCGAATGATTTCTCAATTTTTAGACACTGCTCTGCTGCGTCATCATCAACTAGGGAGTTGATGAGGAATAAGACCCGTCATAGTCTCGAGAACACGGAATGGGGTGGGAGCGGTACCGGCGAGTCCAGCCATCACATGTCGAGTGACTGTCTCCGGGAGGCATGTCGGTGGAGGGAGGCTGCTGAGAACCAGCCGCTGGGGAGGGCTCCAGTCAG